GGGTGGGAAATGCGAGGGTGGAGTTTGTGGAGAGAGCTCAGGGGGGCTGCGGGGCCGTAGAGGGCGCCCTCTGAGGCGGCTCTTTTCTTCAGGGGAATTGATGTCTGTCACCTGCGGGGCAGATGGAATTCTGGGAGGTCCCCAGGCCCCACCTGGACGTTGGCAATCCTGTAACCCAGTTAATTGAATTGCTTCCCATTGTGCAATCTGCCTTGAGCCAGTTTGGTGTCATGGTTAGGAGCGCGGACTCTAATCTGGGAGAACCGGGTTTGATTCCCCACTCCTCCATTTGCAGCTGCTGGTGTGACCTTGGGTCAGTCACAAGTTCTCTCAGAGCTGTTCTCTCAAGGGCAGTTCTTTCAGAGCTCTCTCGGACCCACCTACCTCACAGGGTGTCTCTTGTGGGGAGGGGAAAGGAAAGGCGTTTGTAAGTCGCTCTGAGACTCCAAGTGAAGGACAGGGTATAAATCCAATACTTCCATTGGAAAGTCACACTATAAATAACATAACTAAATAGTTCTGATCCCAGTGGAACTCCGGGTCCTGCCTGGAGGTTGGCAGCCCTAGCTGGGCACTGGATGGGTTCATAGAACGGGTGCCGACTTTCTGTGTCCCCAGATCATTGGAGAGCCAGCAGTGCTGGACTAGGATTTGGGATACCCAGGTCTGAATCTGGATTTATAACCCATCCTTCACTCGGAATCTCGGAGTGGCTTACAATCTCCTTCCCCTCCCCACAACAGACACCCTGTGTGGTAGGCGGGGCTGAGAGAGCTCTCTTGAGAAGTGCCCTTGAGAGAACAGCTCTGACAGAACTTGTGACTGACCCAAAGTCCCACCAGCAGCTGCATGTGGAGGAAGTGGGGAATCAAACCCAATTCTCCCAGATTAGAGTCTGTGCTCTTAACCACTACACCACACTGACTCTTTGACCAGTGAGAAAAATCTGTTTGCAGATGCTAACCACCGTACAACAACAGCTCTCTCCCAGATTAGTGTCCGTGCTCCTCCTAACCACTACACCAAACTGGCTTAAGCCACTTTGGGTCCGCATTGAGGAGAAAGACGGGGTGTAAATTGAATTAAATAAATCATTGTTCTAATGTTTGTCTTCCTTTCAGTTGTGAGATACACCGAGGGCCCCTGTCTGTCTGAGTATGCGGACTTCCTAACCCCGGTGAAGGAGGCTTCGCGGAGGCGTTGAGCAGCATGGGCTGGCCTCCCTCTGCTCAAAGACCGACATGACTTTGGGACTGCGCTGGCACTGTTTCCTTGGCGGTGGGGAGCAAACTTGAGGTGCATTGGTCAACGCAAGGGGCTGCCTATAGAGAACCGTCTTTGTATCCCATCCCGGACAAGTTGCTACCACCCACCTTCTTCCCAAGATGGCGGATCTGAACCGGCAACTGCAAGAATACTTGGCCCAGTCTAAGGGGGGCAGTGGCTCGGCCGTCCCGCCGGCACATCAGAGCCCACCGCAGGATAAAACAGAGGAGTCTGGGTCCGGCTTGGGAGCTTGGTTTGGCCAGATGAACCCTTTCCCCGCAACAGGAACGTGGCCTTGGGCGGCGGAGCCGGAGCCGGACCCGTGGCTGCCGACCGGTCTGTCCCGCTGGCAGCGCCTGGTGGGGAGTGCCTTGTGTCTGCTGTTGGCCGTTCTTTGCTTCAGCCTCGCCGCTCTCTATGGCTCGCTGCTGCTGCTCAGAAAGTTCGCGCTGCTTTGGTCCCTGGGCTCGGCCTTTGCGCTGGGGGCTGCGGGCTTCCTACGGGGCCCGAGTCGTCTCCTGGGTGAGCCTGACCGCCGTGGCCTGGCCCTTCTTTACTTGGGCTCTGTGGGCGGCACCCTCTATGCTGCACTCGGTCTCCGGAGCACCTTGCTCACCACTCTGGGCGCCGGCATCCAGTTGGTGGCCGGTGGCGCCTATTTGCTGGCCTCTCTGCCTGGGGGCGCCGCCGGACTGCGCTACGTCGGCGGGTTCTTGACCGGTTTTGTGCGGCGGCGTGTGTCGAAAACGCTCCCCGTGTGAGGGCGGCTGTTGAGCTGAGCCCCTCTCCTGGATGGATGCTTGTGGGGGAAGAAAGCTGATGTCTATGCAGTGGGGTCCTGAGACCTGCTGTAAGCTAGTGCATGGCACAGGATACAATCCCAAAAACCGGTGGAAGGAAAACATCCAATTCTTCCTTCCATAGACGTGCTTGTCTCAGTTCCAGAAGGGTTGCCATGTTTTGGGTCTGATTTAGCAAAAGTAATTTTGTATCGTATGTTTTTTGTCCTTTTCCTATGATCGCTCTTTACTGTTTTAACATTGATAGATTAAAGGGCAGGGGGGCTGTATTCCAGACTGTGTTCCCGTATGTTTTTGCACTAATCACCTGGGCTCATAACATTAAAAACAACAACAACACTATTCTGAATAATGTTCTACTGTAGTAGCCCTCCTTAATTGTCTGTGTCCTATAATTATTCGTTAGCCGATGCAATCTAAATTTGGTATACGCGACACAATTTTAAAGAAACTGTATAGCATCTTATTAGAAAAAGATGAAGTGCTAATATCTAATCTTGAAGATAATACCATTCCTCCAGGATTTGTATTAAAAGTTTCTACAACCTTTAAAAAAAAATGAACAGAATATGAACAGAATGTTTCTGATATCTAAAGTGATGTTGGGAGGATTTCTAGCTTTCCAATGATTTTGATTGCAGTGCTCCAATAATACTTGTTAATGCAGTTATTCAGATTAGGCAGTAATGTACCTGCTCTCTCCCTAACGGGGCTCACTGTTCCCATTTTTCTGTCACTGCCTTGAATACCGTGTGCCAAAAAGAGTCCAATAGACCCCTTTTATAGCATGCAACATAATGGTTGCTGAACTTGCACAGTTGCCTACATTCTTTGTTTCCCTAATGCTCAGTTACTGCTATGGAGCCCACCAAGAGTAGAGCTGTAGCTTGTTTAATGGTCATATAGCTGGTCCTGAGCCAGCATCCGCATACCCTCGCACCGCTGCAGAAGGGCATGTGAGTGGCACACAAAGCATTAGTGTTCATGGTGCCCACGGTATTCTTGGACCTGCGAATAATTGTTCTCGCTTTCTCCTTCACCTAGTTGCCTTGGCTCGCCTGGCTGTTCTCATTTCTTCCAGTACGTGAGCCAGATGCGGCAGGGCAAGGGAAGAAATGCTGTCGATGCAGACCGTATCTAGCGGCCCAGACGAGCCTGATCTCGTCAGAGCATGCAAATCGGTTCAGAGCCGGGAAGCTAAGCAGGGTTGGTACTTGGATGAGGATGTGCACAGTGACAGCCCCAGGTTTTTTTGCCCACTAGGTGAGGATACATTCTGGCGTGCCCCCCCCCCATGTGAGGCGAGCACCGGAGCTGCAGCGGGGGGCACAGAACAGCTACTCTCGAGCTGCAGCAACAGCCGTACTCAAGCGTCGCTCATGGCCTCCTCGTTGGGCGGCCTCGCAGCGCCCTCTCCCCCCTCCTCTTCGGCATGTGGGAGCCACCGGCGGTTACTGCGTGTGTGCGAGCATAGCTCGGAGCTGTTGGTCGCCCGTACGCCTCCTTCTCTTTCTGTCTGGGGGGCTGCAAAGAGGGGAGTCTCTTGCCGGGGACGGAGCAAGAACCCGGCAAGGGAGGCTTCCTGTGCGGGGCAAGGAGGGGACGAGGCCGGTCAGAATGGCGCCCTCGTCGAGCCGTCACCCTAGGCGACAGTCTAAAATTTAACAATAATGGACCGGCCCTGCCTGTGCGGAGGATGGGAAAGGCAAACTACGTCTCCTTATCTCATACACAGAGAGCCCCATGGAGTCACTGCTCACTTCTTCAGATACATCTGACAGTCGATGTAATTAGCACGGGATAGAACATCGACTGTCAGATGTATCTGAAGAAGTGAGCAGTGACTCCCGAAAGCTCATCCCTTCCCTCAAATGTTGTTAGTTTTTAAGCCTTTAAAGTGCTCCTTTAAAGTACTGCCAACCTAGCAGTTCGAAAGCAAGAAATTGCAAGTAGATAAATAGGTACCTTTTCAGTGCGAAGGTAACAGTGTTCCGTGCACCTCGGCATCTAGTCATGACCACGGAAATGTCTTCAGACAGCGCTGGCTCTTCGCCTTTGAAACGGAGATGAGCACCGCAACCCTAGAGTCGGATTCGACTGGCTTTCAAGCAAGGGGACCTTTACTAAAGTGCTCCTAGATTATTGCTCTTTCCTACCGATACTGCTATGGACTAACAGGGTGCTTCTGGGGCCATTGTGAAGGGCTGCTATTAACTTTTAAGGCCTTAAATGGTTTTGGACCAAGCACCAGTGGAGCCAGTTTGGTATAGTGGCAGACTCTTCTTCGTTCTGCTAATGCAAGGATGCTCCTGGTCAGATGTCTGACCGTTTCCAAACGCGTCGCCATGTTAATTATTGAATTGACGAAAATGTTTATCAGCTCCCTTTTCCAGAAGATAGTTTTTCAGTTAAACTGAGGTAATGTCTTCGTGGCCCAAGACAGGTTTGAACTCAAAAATCTTACTGTATGAAGGAGACATTTCCTCCCAGATACTGAGAGCCAGTGTGGTGTCGTGGTTAAGTGCGCGGACTCTAATCTGGGAGAACCGGGTTTGATTCCCCACTCCTCCACTCGCATCTGGCTGGATGACCTTGGGCAAGCCGTAGTTCTGATAAGAGCTGTCCTTGGAAAAAGAGCAGTTTCTGTCAAGAGCTCGCTCAGCCCCACCTCCCTCCCAGGGTGTCTGATGTGGGGAGGGGGAGGGAAAGGAGCTTGTAAGCTGCTCTGAGACTCCTTTTGGGTAGTGAAGGGCGGGGCATAAATCCAATCTCTTCTTCTTAACAATCATGTTTGTAGTTCTGAGTCCTAATGCTACTGAAACTGGCCATTTTGTCGAAAGGGTAGAGTGTATATCCTACAGCATAACTAAAAGCCAACAATCTTTTTCACTCCTAAAATAGGAGACTTCTTCATTCTGTCAGTGCCAAAGCGACATTGTTAGCCTTAAGAAAAAAATGTATCTTTTCTTGTATTTTCTGAACAAAGTGGATTTTCTGTAGACCATGCAAACTGACAATGGAATAGGAAATGATCCTTCCTAAGCCCTTTTGGCAAATGAAATCTTTCTGATAACTCATTTTTGGAGGTAAAACAAATACCGTATATGCAGTATTGTAGGCCCAATCTAGAATAAGGCTCAGCAATAAGAAGACAGTCAGGATTCAAAATGATCTAGATAGTCTGGAACAGTGGGCTGAGACAAATAAAATGAATTTCAATAGAGAAAAATGTAAAGTCCTACACTTGGATAAAAAAAAAATCAAAGGCATAGATATAGAATGGGAGGGACTTGGCTTGACAGCAGCTCATGTGAAAGGGATCTAGGTGTTCTGGTTGATCACAAGCTAAACATGAGCCTGCAGTGCGATGTGGCTGTGAAGAAAGCTAATGCAATCTTAGGATGCATAAACAGAAGCATTGTGTCCAGATCACGGTGTCAGACTCCCATAGCCTCAACGAAGCACACACTTGTAGAAAAGGTTTTACTTTAATTGAAGCAATAGGTGCATAACAGGATCACTGTTCAGAATGAGGGATAAACATGGAGCCCAAGAAATTATAGTGAATTCAAAAAGCTGAGGCCCAATTGCGGGATTTCCCGTGCGCGCCATTGAGCCTGGGAAGCAACGCATCTAAGTAATCATAACATATTCGCTTCTCATGGATAGTACCATGAGATCACACAAGCTACTACCCGCCAGAGATACGGATGTTCCTGCAAATAGGCAAATTAAGCGCATCAACAGGCATACATAGGAAAGTGAAAGCAGACAAGCGCATACATAGATACCCTGTTACCCCGAAAATAAGACCTACCCCAAAAATAAGTCCTAGCAGGATTTCTATGCATTTGTGGTAGAAGTCTTAGTGTGTCTTCTTGAGAAAAAATAAATATAAGACAGTGTTTTATTTTCGGGGAAACACGGTACAGAATAGAAAAACACATTGGCAGCTTGCTGACACACGGGAGGTGGTAGTTCCGCTCTATTCTGCTATGGTCAGGCCTCACCTGGAGGACTGTGTCCAGTTTTGGGCACCACATTTTAGGAAGGAGGTCAACAAGCTCGAGCGTGTCCAGAAGAGGGCAACCAGGACGGTGAGAGGGTTGGAATCCGAGTCTTATGAGGAAAGGCTGAAAGAGTTGGGTCTGTTTAGCCTGGGAAAGAGAAGGCTTAGAGGGGACACGATTGCAGTCTTCAAGTATTTGAAGGGCTGTCATGTAGAAGATGGAGCGGATCTATTCTCTCTTGCTCCGGATTGCAAGACTAGATCTCATGAGTGGGAATTACAAGGGAGTCGTTATTGGCTAAATATCAGGAGAAACTTCCTAACTGTAAGAGTAGTTGAGCAGTGGAAAAGTCTGCCTTGGGAGGTGATGGATGCTCCTTCGCTGGACGTTTTCAAGCAGAGGCTGGACGACCATCTTCCGAGTATGTTGTAGGTATGTAGGGCTATCTTTCGGCTATGCTCCTGCAGAGTGCAGGGGGTTGGACTAGATGACCTGCAAGGTCCCTTCCAACTCTAACATTCTATGATTCTATGACTTGTACAGTAAATGTCTTTGGAACAAAGGAGCTGACAAAGTAAGAAAAAATGGTTCAAATGAAAGAACCAACCACATTTACATATCTTGAGACTGAACTGCTGTTTACAGACCCAATAAAAGGTGACTAATACCTAAAATATTTTTGCTGTCATTTTTCATTCTCTTACTTGGTCAAAATCAGCAATTTTGGACAACGCTGTCCACCTTTTTCAGGCATAGAATCATACCGCAAATACCACCGAAATGCCGTTAAGTCTCCAGTGCCCTTTTCCCCTCAAAGGGAACCAACCTGGGAACGCCACTAGCCTCTGGGAGTTCTCACCACTTGAGGAAGCGGGGTGCTTGAAGCAAAACAAAGTGCCGGTCAGCGCTCTTATTAAATAGAACCTTGGTGCCCCACTGGAGCGTCCTGACTTTAGGCCAAGACTGAATTTAAACAAGACATATGTACTCTTCTGTGGGGGTTTGCACCAGCATGGCACCCTCGGGGAAACCGGGCTGCTGCCTGTGCAAGGAAGCCATGAGGCACGCCAAGCCCTAACCCAGCGTGGCAGGCGTAGTGGCTTTGGACACGTAGCGGGCCACTTTAAAAGCATGCTTGTGTGACCGTGGAACCCCGTGGGGAGTGTGCTTTGCCATTGCCTCAGCCAGCGTTGCAGCCTGGGGAACTCAGGCAGGGGGTGTGTGTGGCTTATCTCAGAAGAACCTCGAAGAACGTCCCACAGAACACTCTGGGCCTGCTGCCATTGCTGATCAGGTCCAACGCACAGCTCCCAAAGGGTACCTGATGTACTGGCAGAAATGACTCTCCGAGCAGCCTGCGGAGGGCCGGACTTGCACCCCTGTTCAGCTCAGCTGAGGAGGTGACCAGTCAGGAGGGAAAGGGGGGCTCTGTTCAGCTCCAGAGTAGCTTCTTTCCTACAACATTTTTGCTAGCAGAAAGGGCTCGGGCTGCATGTTTCTCGCTGTCCACCTTTTTCAGGCATAGAATCATACTGCAAATACCACCGAAATGCCGTTAAGTCTGAGCCAGTGCCCTTTTCCCCTCAAAGGGAACCAACCTGGGAACGCCACTAGCCTCTGGGAGTTCTCACCCCTTGAGGAAGTGGGGTGCTTGAAGCAAAACAAAGTGCCGGTCAGCGCTCTTATTAAATAGAACCTTGGTGCCCCACTGGAGCGTCCCGACTTTAGGCCAAGACTGAATTTAAACAAGACATATGTACTCTTCTGTGGGGGTTTGCACCAGCATGGCACCTCGGGGAAACCGGGCTGCTGCCTGTGCAAGGAAGCCATGAGGCACGCCAAGCCCTAACCCA